GGGTCAGACACTGGAACAGACTGCCTAGGGAGGTGGTTGAGTTGCCATACCTGGATGTGTTCAAGTGTCGCTTAGATGTGGTGTTGAGTGATAATGGTTTAGGGGTGACCTTGTAGTGTAGGGTCAGTGGTTGGACTTGACGATCCCAAGGGTGTTTTCCAACCTGAATTGTTCTATGATTCTATGAATGGAATAAAACTTCCTTATAGCCTGGCTAAAAAGACTTTTGTTGATAAGACAGCAGCATCTTATTCCTCAAATTAAAAAATAAAAATCTTTACATAGCCAATGAAAATTACAACTTTTTAAGGTACTTGAAGCTTCTACATGTTAATATTATCTTTTTCTTTTCACCCCATACCCCCACTGTAGAAAGAGAAGGAAGGCTGGAAAATGGCTCCCAGTAATTTCCTTTCAATATTGGAGGAAGGAAGCAGTCAATACAAAGGTCAGTAGAAAAATACAGCAATTAAAACCGGAATGTTCATTTAATTCAACTTAATCTGAATGTCATTTCTATAAGGTCAAACAGGTTCCCTACAGAACATTGCAGAAGTGAGACATTAGATAAAAATAGTATTTAGGAAGGGAGTCACAAAGTCATCAAGCTAAGTCGTACAGGAAAGTACAGTTCTATATGAGTGAAACTGGCCAAGCTCGAAACAAAGTGCTTTGGCTGTTCATGCAGAGGCTTGCTTGGATTTTCTGAGGCTGACAAAGTGACACCTGAAAAGCAAATAGTCCAAAGTCACTGTTCTGTAGGTCAAGCTTCAGCATCAAAAGTTTTCATGCTCCTGTAATTTTTTATCCTGCCTTCCTCTCATTCCTGGAAAGTATCACTGGATTCATTCACCTAAACAGTTAATTGACACAGCTGGTCAGATTACTTTTGAATAAATGTTTTAATAGGAGGATTATCTTTTCAAGCAACGGCACAAAAATGCTGCTGGTCTTGAATATACTTGCTTCAGAGTGGATGCAACTTAAACATAACTCGGGCTTGTAGCTAGGAGACTGGCTGTTTTCTCATTTGGAAAAAGCATCCAGGATTAGAGGGGTTTGAATTTTAAAAACAGTTTTTGCAAAAGGACGTCTTGGTCTTTTCCATATCTCTTCTACTCTTGATGCCTTTGTCTATGTCCTAGCCACTTGTCTTCAGTGCGTGCCCTAGATGCACAAGTGCTTTTGCAATCACTTGTGCTGGGCCTGGAAGCACGCAGGGAAGCCAAACACTTGTCTGAGAGGGTGAGGTGCACCTGTCGCGTGAACGGTGAGTGAGCGGCACCATAGGACTCCAAAGGTCAGACAAGCCAAGCTGAAGTCCTCTCACAAAGCGTGCCAGCTCAAAACTCTTATGGTGTTTTCTTTGTTGCTTTATTTCAGGCAGATTTTATTCTCAGTTATTAAAAATACCTTTTCTTCTCCCCACCCTGCGGTGTTAAGGGCTTGCTAAAATTCCTTATGTGAAAAATCTCCGTTGATCCCTCCTGCTGATAAGTTATTGGCATCAAGTTTTCTGCCTGATTTGGGCTGGTTGGAGAGGAAGGAGTGTAGAAGTTACTTTCTAAATATACACCAGCATAGTTTTGCCTGACCTCTGACTTCTAACGATGAGGATTTTCTCACACGTTATAAATCATAAAGCAGTTTTACAGCTGAAGAGTTCTGTGTCCCAGACATTACTCTTGAATGCTACATCAGAACCCCACTGAAGCCAGCATAAAAGTTTTAGGTAAGGATCAAGTTCACCTGTGCTTCTTCCCTTAACTGGCCAAGCACATTACTTATGCTGCTCTGTGCACTCAGGATGAACTGGCACCTTGCTACTGGAGACCAGCAACAGCAAGACCAGTGTTTCCCATCCAGCAAGTCCCAAGAGCAATAAAGGAGCAGTGTTGCAAAGTAGCACCAAGAGGGCAGAAGGGTTTTGGATTGCTACACAGGTTTGGCAAAGTGTTAATTGAGCACTCTGCTAACAAGGAGGTGATGCAGTAGCCATGCTTTCCGGTGCTCGCACATTGCTGCTTTTTTATAGTCCGAGAGCCCCGAGTACAACGCCAAACTGCAAATTCACAAACTCCTTGTACCTGTGCAAATAACTCTCTTCCAGGTTGTAGAAAACACAGAGGCTTTAAACAATCCTTCCCACCATGGTGGTGTATATCAGCCTTAGGAATAAAAACACTCTATAGATGAACACGTTAGTTTAATAGGAATAGAGACTCACAATTTTCACAACTTATTAGTTTCACTAATAACAAGTCAAGGATAGGTGACCTGTTTGTTACCCTAATAGTAATCTAAACACCAGTACTGCCATTCCTAGCAAGATAACCTGCTTTGATCTCTGCACGTATATAAGTATAGGCCAGGCTGGATTCTTGAACACCAATGCCCATCTCCAGCCCATCCTGCCAGGGCTGACAGCTGCCCCCCTAGCTCTGAAGGCACCGTTTTCTACGCAGAGGACAACCAGGAATCCTTAGAGTGAAAAGAGCTCTCTAGCAAACTTCAAAGAATAGCTGCAGTTGTCTTATGTACAGTAAGAGCCCGTAGATGTTCAGTTAAACTTCAGGTGTTCAGGTTTCTTTCCTCCTAGTGAACCAAGTCTATTTGACACCAGGTTTATTTTTAACTTTAATTCCTCCAAGCAGCACAATCCCCTGCCTCGTTTACAAGCATTTTGTGGTTTTTTTTATTGGGGGACATTTTTATCACAATACTACCTAACGGTTGTTCAGAATAATTTTACTTTTAATCTGGCCATGGATAAGGGTCCTTTCCTGAAAGCCCCCAGAATCAAATCTAGAACAACTTCTGACCAGAACAATGTAAAAAGTTAGTGTTTTTAATTTTAGCTTATTTTCGTTTCAGTAGCAAAATTGTTTAGAAGAGAGGCTTGAGTTTGGTCTTTCTGTGTTGGGGCTTTTTTCTTCTTATATAGAAATACCTCAGGTTACTATCCCAATTTGCGCAGAGTTTCAAATTTATTAGTGCATAAATCTTGAAAATATTGCAGTAAGGAAACTTGATTAAGAAAGGTTTATATCCAATGCCTACAATTAAATCATTTGAAGTCCCTTATAAGTGTGTCTAACTCATATCTAAATGATAGCTGACCAAACATTTTTGTTTTGTCACTCACGCCCAACACTTAAAATTAAGAAAGTCTTCCCATCCCCTGAAATTTGTTGCTTTGTTGTTAGGTTACTTAAATATTTAAAAGTATGTAGATCAATTTTTTTTTTTTTACCTTTCTCTACCAAGCAAAAACTACTACCTAAACGTTACTGGAAATCACAAACACTTACTTTCTTTTAGAACTGTATTGCACAGTTTTGGTGGTTGCTAAACAACATTTGCCAAGCTCTAAAATGCTTATTTTCCAGCTGCTATTGGAAACAGCCAGTTTCTGTACTTTTACACTGGAATAGCAAGAGTTTATGCGAAGCAAATGTGAGCAGTCAGGATATTACCTGTGTTGTGAAGCAGCAATGTGCTATTTCCCCCATTATGAAAATGGTCAGTTGATATTTATGGATTGCTTGGTGTTGCAGAGGATGAGTTCAACCCAGATACTCCATGGGCCAAGCTTTAAAGATGTGGCAATATTATCTATTTCTAACCAGGCATCAAAAGATTCAAACCCTTTTGCCAGGAGGTTGAAAGCAGTCATTTTAAGAAAAACTTCATACATTAGTCAAATATATTTCTATTTTCAGCCACAAGCTGCTCTCTGGAATTCAGGAATATTTAAAAGACATTTGAATGAGGTGCTTCAAAAGACGGTTTAGAGGCAGGCCTGCCATCACTAGCTTATTTGTTGGACTTGATCATAAAGCTCTTTTCCAATCAAAATGATTTTACAACATTGGAAATACGTTGTAGTCTGCAGAGTGAAAACTAGTGCTGCTGAAACAGTCATGTTAGTGGAGTGGATTTTCTTTTGAGGCCTCAGCTAGAGGCACACACATAAAATAACTCAAAGATAAGCATGAATTGGTTTAGAAGAGGTGATAAAAATTGCATTGCATACACACATACTCAAAAATAGCTCCTGTAGCTGGATGACCCTGTCTGTAACAAAACACCAGGCTCTTCTGACCAGCCAGTGAAAACATAACATCCTTAGCCTCTTGACCTTACTTTAAAAATAACTTTGAAACATTCTGTTGATCTATAAAACAACAACATAGCATCTAACACCTATGAGTTATCGATCTCTTCTAAAATTAGGGACCTCTAACCCAGTGGCTAATATAGCACTAGAAAAGCTCACTGCCAGGCAGCTGCCTAGTCTGTGGGGGCTGTCACTGGTTTGCCTGCTATGGATATTAACAACTAATCAATATACAAAATGACTATAAACAATTATAGAAAAAAAAAAACCAGAATAAAAATCTATGGATCCCTCAATGAAAAATAAATATCTAAAATCTAGTACTCCTGTGAAAACATAGCACTTGCAACCTGTTGAGCCAGTGAGGAAAGTGTTCAAAAATTCACATAACTCCCATGTAACATCCCCTTTCCCCAAGGCTGAAATTCCAGGCTGATAACCCTGGAGGAAGTAGCTTTTTAGCTAGGGCAAATCAGCTTTCCCTTTTGAAATATTACATGACATCTGTCATACCATCTGATGACCTACAAATAGTTTAAAGAAATTAATGCCTATACCTTTGAGTTTCTTTCCAATAAAAAAGAATAAAAAAAATACACAGTCTTTCCCCATCTCTATTTCCAGTTACAAAGACTACTCACCTGCAAAAATTATTCCCTATGTGTAAATCCACAAATACTCTGCACATAATTGGACTTTGAAAATTCGTAAGGGATGGAAATAGCAGCCAGTATTGTATTAACTGGACTAAAACTTAAATTATCTCCTGTGGGTACTGTGAAAACCTTCCTGATTTTATAGTGCCTTAGAAATGGCAGTGGGTGCAGGAAGGAGTACACTGTACAAAACAGATTCATAAAGAAGCCTACATCTTAAAGTGCAAAGCTGTCCTTTTAAATCATCTGGAGATTGAATTAGCACATACTGCTGGAGATTAGCTGTCGTTTTTAAAGATACTGTTGGGGCTTGAAGTGCAAGGAAATGCAAAATATTAATTGTCTTTCTTTAAATCAGCTAAAAAAACATAGAAAGAAGAGAGGCATTTCACTTGAAAAAAGTAGCTTTGGCTAATAGCAGAGAATTCAGATACACGCCGAGTTGGCCCAACGTCATTTACTTGTCTTTCTGAAGAGCAAATTGCAGTTTGCCTCAATGAAAAAAAAAAACCAAAAAACCAAACAAACTACACCTTAGGATTGTTAGCTGTTGTATCATAAACAGGGTTGGGGTTTTTTTTAATCATTAGTTTGCACAAGCTTGCTTTGTTCCTGGATTTAGGTCTCATTATTACTTATCCTTTGCACTACATTTAGAGGTGTTGCATCAGGTGGGTGTTGTCTCTTTTTGGAAGATTTTGACTGCTTCTCAGTTACTGCATCAAACTTAAACCTCCTCAATGTTAAAACCACGTGGCCACACATCACTTGTGGGCTGGATGCAGGTCATTGCTCTGTCAGACTCACTGTCCCTTCTCGCTCACATTTCCGTGTGCTCAGTGCAAGCTTTTATGCCTATTCCAGTGCTCCTGACCCATATTTCAGCCTGGTGTGAATTACTACAAAGGCTGACTTGCAACGTTGCAGCACCTTTAGCTTAGCATTAGATAACTGAGCAGGAAAGAACACGGAAACTTCCTGGTTTAAATTAAACACCTTCCTTCAGTCCCCAAACCTGCATTATGCCAGCCAAGAGACATGCATAGAAGCCATCTCTATGACTTTTTTACAGTAAAGATTTAAGCACTATGCTATTAAACAGAGAGAAAAAAGAATGCCCACATGGGGCACGATATGGTTCACTCAATACTGTACTACCTGCCCTTGAAGATGAGCAACACTCCAGGCATTCAGCTTTACAGACAGAAAGAGACAACCTCCATATCCCAATATCCTCCTGAAATCTGATACCAATTTACAGCCCAAGGCAAAAAAGTTAACTTTAAGATTTGCAGACCCTAACACAACAGGACTCTGAACTTGGTAAGGGTCCCTAGAGACTGCTACCTTCATATAGTTAATAATTTTATAAAAGCTGCTCACAACTACCTGGTTTTTTTGCCTCCACAAGCAGTTGGAGAAACCAACGCCTTCTGTAACTTTTTTTTTTTCTTTCTTTTCGATAACAGCCGTTTGGCAGAACAGAGATGAGGAAGGGGATTTTCTCCAGGATCATGACCCAGAGCTGATCAAAGAAAAGAAACGGGAAGAAGTGGAGGAAGAGATCAGAGTGCAGGTATTCTTACAATACTAAGAGGACACTAATAATGTGCATTGCCTGTGTGTATTTCTCTACAGCTCTGAGAACTGGCCCTGGCGTAGACCTTCCAGATTCCCTACTACGTGTTCTTTGCTTTAACACTTTAGCTGAACATTTGTCTGAGGTGTGATGGCAGGACAGAAGACTTAGGAAGATTCAACTCTGTTTGTCTGGATAGGTTGATAAAGTGATGCAACAGAAATTGGAGGAACTCAGACTGGCTGTGGATGGTGAGAAGACTAACAAACAGAAAAAAGGAAGAAAAAGTCAGAAGGTAAGCATAGCAAGTTAAGAGATTTCAGGGTAAATCTCAATTCTTTGCCCAGATACAGTGGTTCAGTGCAACCCTAGTCTCACAGATACCAGTATCCAAATGTCCACGTTAAATATTTACTGAATCTCAAGTCAGAAGCATTTAAAAATCTGTACACTGTGGCTTTTTTCAGGGCCTTTTCTTTTAGCTATTTTTATTCCTTAACCTGTGTAAATACTGCCTAGGACAAGTTGAACTATTCCAAAGATAAATCATTACAAGATAAATCAGATTTTTCAAGAGATACACATCCTTTGATCCAGTCAAACAGGAAAACCCAAGCAATCCCTATCATTAAGGTTACAGGTTCAATCTTCCAAGGAAAGTCTGGATCTGGATGCCAGGAAAAGAAAGTAAATTAAAAACAAAATCACTTTGAATGTTTTGATGTAACCTTTCATTTTACTGTAACACCACACATCACAGAGCCAGGTACACATTATGCTACTATTTACTATTGAAGGGCTTGGGAACTTGCAATTAAGCCAAGTTTATTTAAGCATGTAAAATAGGTTAAAAGACATACATTGTTTTTAACATGTGTTACCTACTGAAACACAGCACACATTTTCACATCTAGTTTCAGAGTGTTACCGTATGCAGAACTCCACAGCTCACAGGTCCCTGAATTCCTTACCCAAGCATTTAAACTATAGATCATGTCAGTGCAAAATAACTCAGGGCTTACAGACCCTACCATTCAATCAGCAGATCCACTTAAAATCCTCAAGGCAAATAGCCAACTCTAATTCTCTTGTTGTATTTCATTTCTATAATCCTTTTAGCATGCAAATACTTGCTGTTGCTGTACTTCTACTCAGACTGTCTTTAAAAATGCTCTTTCACCTGACAAACATGCAGGGGCAATTTAATAATGCAAGATTGGAGCAACTCCGAAAACTGATACCAACTGAATTGCTAAACCTTTTTCAAAAAGAGACTCTTAAGATACACAAACAGAATACTGCAGCCATCTTCCTAAAGCTGTCATGGGCAGATTCATTTACATCACCTGGTCAAAACCCTGCTTCAGAATGTCAGACTGGAATTATAAAACTGTATGTTAGGGATTGGGGGTTCCCCCCACCCCAAACTTGATTGGGGGAGAAGAAGAGAGAGAAGTACTAACTAAATAAAGCAAGCTCCCTGAAGATTTTATCTGGCAGACAGAAAAAAAAAGTTATTTTTAGAGGTGAGATATGAGAGGTATCCAGTTTTACTCGAAACACATCTTCCTTGTGCAATTCTGTTTGAAATATCCAACTGGTACTGGGAAATGCTTTTTCTAATTAGTATTTGCATAAGTATCTTACTCCATAAACAAACGCAGTGTGTGCATACCCCTGTGCACACAGACTTCAGATCTGCTTTATGAGAAATATGGCCTATGTAACAAGACTAGTATGAACTAGAAAGTTTTGGAAACAGCTTATTAATTTGCTATCCAGCAAAACATTCTCTAGTTTTTCAAGGCACGTGTTACCACAACTTAGGTGCTGTTAAATCTCCTCTCCCCAGTTACACAATGTGAAACAGTACGTTTGTATTCTCATTGTGGCCATGGATGTCTCTGGAGTTTGGCGTAAAACAACATTTCCCCTCCCTGACCCAAAAAAATAGGGATATTCTGCAAAGCAAAGCATTCTTAGAAGGATTCATCATTCTTCAGAGAAATCAAACCATTTTCTGTGCTTTGTCAGTAGGAGATAGGCAGCAAGAGTAATTCCTTTAAGTGAACTCTTTACAAGAGTTTTCTCTCTAGGGTCAGCTACCCCAAATTCAAAATGTCACATTTGGCCATGCCCTCTGTTCTAAGGAGGGATTTCTTATACTTTCTTTGCAGGAAGACATCATAATAGAAGGAGGGGGGGTTTTGTTGTCAGGAAATAGTCACTACCCAGTGGTAGACATCCTCTGTCTTTTCAAGTGCACCTTAAGATAAGTAGTTCACAACTCTAAACAATTCTGTCAAGTCCATATTAAAAAAGAAAAATAAAATTTGCCTGACCCACGGAAAGCAATTTGAGTTAGAAAACTTACGTGAAAGTCCCTTGGGGGGGGGAATTTAGGAAGGGCATTTTGGAACTGGACTCTAAAGGGGAAGCATAAAGAAGCTAGTTGTTCCCTTCCAGTCTGTGTTTCAGATGGCTCAGGTCTTAGATAAACAAAATTTGACAGCTCCAGGCATACCACTAGGCCACTCCTCTATTTCCCTGCACTGGACTTTCTAGGCTGAACTTTATCAGTGACTCCTAAACCTTCAAATACCACTTACTGCTAAGAGCTGACACTTAACCCTAGCAAGAATTGCTCTTATTGTCCCTGAAGATAAAAAGCCCATTTGCCACCTTTGTGAAAGAATCATCTGGTGTGGAACGGCAAATTGTTCCAGTAGGTTGGTCTGAAAATACCTGAAATAAGTGGAGTGCAGCAAGCCACACTGCTACCGTTTGGGGCACCAACCCTGTGTCTCTACCCATGATGGAAGCATTCCATCTCACAGACTGTCCCACTGTTATTTGTCCTTTCTTCCAATCCTGTTGACAGGATATAGAGCACAAGGGTCCTCATTAAGAGACACACTGTGCTGGACTCTTGATAGTTCCAGAGAGCTGCTGATCTGATGACTGTCACAGGAGAGGGGACACGGATACAACAAACAAAGGAATGTGGTTCAGCTCTGCTGCAAATTACATTTTTCTTCACCATGCACAGTGGCAGCTTGTCATCTGCCCAGCCATGGATCAGTAAACTGGGATTGTAAGCACCTATGGAAAAAAAGGCTGAGGAAAGATTTGAATGGAGATTGCCTGCTAGTGAGCGAAAAGGCATTTATGTCTCTAAAGTCTGGCAAAGAGACATCAGAAGGTCTAAGTCCCCACTCAGACCAGAGTAGCCTGTTATAAAGCACTGAAAGCAAAGGCTAGCATTTCCTAAACCATTAGATTTCTAAAAAAAAATTGTTGGCAGCCTTGTGCCAGTATGAACTTTTTAGTGAGAAGTTATTCTGAGTCCAGCCCTTTCTGCTGACTGCCCAAGCTTCTGATTTGGGTGGCTCAGCACAACCCACCAGCCTCAGAAGTAATTCTTCTACATGTATGCCATGTACCCACCCACAGTACCCTTAGCAGCCAAGGGTGTTTCTCTTGGGAACCTACAACCAAGTAAACTACCACTAGCTTTTTTAAACTGGCTTTCCACCCAGTGTAAGAGCTGAGAAGATCAACTCTCTGCAGTTACTGACCTGGAAGTTACATATGAGGGCTTATCAGAATGCTCTTTATCAAACCCATTGTGCTTCTTTTCCTGTTCCACTCCCCTGAGGATTTGTTTCCGATCCAATTGTCGCAGGTAAAGCAACCCATTGCAAGTGAGCACACCCACACATACACAATGGCATGGCCAGGATTCAGAAAAAAACAGAAAGAGGAGACATGGGAAGTGTGTAAAAGCTGATTATGAAATAGGCCTTGCTGGCATCTCAGCACAGCTTTGGATATCCTTTATTTGATGCAGCTGGGCAGAAGCAAAGAAAACCACAAGAGGTTAACTATAGAAACGGCTATGACAAGAATATTGACATCAGTCTAAAGACTTGGTAAGAGCAAAGCTATAGTGAATAAGACCACAAGACGGGCTAGGTCAGAATTGAGGAAAGACTGCATTTGAGAACAGCGATTCACAATCCCTGTTAGATTTTCTCTAGTTGATGGAGATTAGCATCCAGAGCTCCCAGTCAGCTGTGGGGGCTGTAACCTCTTTGGATGCTGTAGCTAAATCCAACAGGGATTATAGATCCGAGTCCCTCATTCAGCAAGAGTTTAATTATCAGTGGAAACATCTCTGTCTACAAACTTCTTCAGTGCAAGTATCAGAAGCTGCACTCTATATCTTGGTATTGCCAGAAAAAACTCCTCAACCAAGAACAGATGCACACACTGCACAAATCTGCGCTTTCTCAGCCTCCCACACGATCCAAGGAATCCATCCAAACACTTCAGAGGCTACTGCTTATCCACCATCATTTCCCTTAAACCAACAGAGTAATTCTCTTCTTACTTTTCCACATGCTTGGTGATGGTAGCTGTGGACAGCTGATGGCAGCTGGGGGTCGGTTAGCTCAGGCAGTTGAGCGTAGCACTAACAACGCTAAGGTCGCGGGTTCGATTCCCGTTCAGTCCCCATGTGTTGCCTGATCTAGTCGAGAGGTAGCATCCCTGGCACCAGGGAGGCTGGATTAAAATGATCCCTAAGGTCCCTTCCAGCTTAGGTCATTCTATGATATGATATGACTTGTACGATCACAGCCAAAGGGTGGCACAGAGCCTGTGGTTCCAACATGGAACGCTGCCTCTAATGAGATGCTTTGGCTACCCTCTCCAGTGCCAGAGACCCTCTGCCCTGGAATCTGGTCTGAACTCAGGTCTGTGTTTACTCATAGCAGCCCCTGAGCTACTCAAAAACATTTCCATGATTTCACACAGTAAGACAAGATACCACACTGAGCACAGAAAACAGTCTTCTGTCATCTGCCGACTGATAGCTGATGCAGTTCACTACATGTAACTTATCAAAGCAGGAAATAACCAAGTAAATGAATGGCTACACAGGAGCTAGACTGACATTTCGGAGATAGAAACAAGGAGATTTTCATTATAAATGATGAGCGTGTTCACATTCATTAAACATTACCATTTTCTAAATAAAGCAGTTCCCAATAAGACATTTTGGAGGAGAGCCATTGTCTACAATTCATATTTGCCTTTATCACATCTCGCTGTTTGCCAAATTTCCTATAAATGCTGATGTTAATTAGGAAAACACATTTTTCCCCTGCACAGTGCATTTTTGTTTTGCTCTTGAGTTACTTTATTGGTGAAGCTGCCTTGAGGACAATACCAGTTGGCCAATAAATTCAACATATGCTTAGTGTCTTTACATAGGTAGAAATGAGCTTTTCTTCCCAGTCAGACCCCATGATATGTAATTTCTAGCTTGTTAGAAGAAAGGTTAGAGACAAAGCTGGAGGAACACCAGAAATAAACCACTGACAGGCTCAGTATTTCCTCGGTTGTTAAAACAGCATGGTAGATGCTTTGTTCTTCCTATTCCTTTTCTTTAAAAGAAAACCCCACTGGCATATTGTAACAAGTACTTGCTGCCAAGCTTATTTATGTAAAGAAATCCAAGGTGTAGTTTCTGCAGATACAGAGTTGTTTGCATTGTTCTAATCCAAAACATAAAAACACCACCTTTTTCCCATTTAGCTTATCCATATAGTTGAGGGTTTATTTTACATTTTCATCTAGATTCTTTGGTGCACTGTAAACAGTAAGAGTTGATTGAACCACAGGTTATTTACATTGCAATCATCCTTAGAAAGTTACAACTGATATATTTCTGAACACTGCTGATCCATTCTAGAACAGGAGGAGGGGGGAAAAAGCCCACACAACCAAAACACAGCATTTTCCGGATAATTGGATAGGTGTTTTTTTTTAACTCAACAACATAGCCTTTAGAGCTCTGCAGAAGTATTCACTATTAAAAAAATAAAGTAAATGACTGTATTCCCGGGAAAGCTAACATAAACATTTTGAAAGAATAAGCTGCCTTGATCAACTAAGCATTTAAGCACATGCTTAAATTTAAGCTGTTGAAGAAATCCCGTGGTGCACAAATGTGGCCGTGCAAATAGTTCGTGAGAAGTAATTCTAAAGTGCTTTGCCGAACTTTAGTATGGACACCAGTGGTGGGCACTAACATGGATTAATGATGCCCTCTCCATTACTAACTGTACTTATGGCTTGTGAACTGTAATTAATGGCAGGGCTTGACATTGCCAATTCACATCTTTAGGGTTTTCATGGGGTTTTTTTTTGAGCATGTAAAGAAACTAGTTGCACAAGTCAAAAATCTTTCTGTAGTGAAAGTGTGGTGAAAGTATCAAGAGAAGTGCAGGTCATGTTGTTCTGACCTCTTCAAGCTTCTTCCCTGAGGCGTAAGGAAGAAGACTGAAGGACGCCTAACAGGAGAGTAGCCAGAGACTCAGGACGGTTGGTTTCAGGTCCTGGTCCAGCGGTAAACACGATATGTGACCCTTAGGGAAGCTGCAGTTTACCCCAATGCATGAAAAAAACAAAAAAAAAAACACAAAAAAATCACTCACCACACAAAACCCAAACATGAACACTTGCTGGAGCAGCTCCTTGGACACCACACCCTTTTCCTGCCTGCTTCCCTCTTGGGTAAGGGCCATACCCACTCAACCACAGAGTAGTGCTCCAAAACAGATGGAGACAAGAATTTTTTCTCAAACAGCCTTGGGATTTTTTTGTATGCAGCCTCCACTGGAAAGAGAGGAACTGATCTCTCAAATACAGTGCTCTTGGTCACTGATGGGAGAGGTCAGGTATACAGGCTCCCTGAGCAGCTGTATTCTAGAAGGAGGCAGCACCCATCAGGTTACTTCATGCAGAGTCCAGTTCAAAGGCATCTGCCACAAGAGCTGTGAGTTGGACACAGCGCCTCAGCCCAGAGGTGCTTCACCTCTTCTGTGCCTGAGTGAAGCACTTACAAATGGGAACATCTCCTGTGCTTTTATAAATGGGGACATGGCTTCCTTGTCCTCAGGGCATTCAAGGATATGTTTTTTCCCTTTAGGTTTCTTCAGTAGCAAGGGACATATCCAAAATCATTTGCTGTTCTGGCCTTCACTTCCGTACATTCAAATATATATAGCTGTACTAAGGTCACTAATTCCTGCCTGGTTTTGTGCTCCTCAGAAAAAGGCGACCACGAGGAAAAGGATACCCGAGATGGAGCAAGACCTAACTCCTGACAGGTAAGACAGGACCTGTTTATTTGATATGTAGACAATGAGGCTGCATCTTCTTTGCATTAGATAGGCTCTCGACCCTTCTGGGTTTTAATTACACAATTAACATCTCAACATTGCTACGTTGACCAGAATCAGAAGCCCTACTCTTTACTAACAGCTATACGTATCCATAAAAAGCCTAGATGGTACATTAAAAACAATAATAATCTTTTGCAAACTTGAAGTATATACACTTTATCCAAGATGGTTTTTGCATTCCTAGTGAACACGGCAGCCTTCCCACAGCCCCTCCCTGACCGATGGCTTCACAGCACCAGATAACAGGGCAACAAAACACTACTTTAATGCTACACACCACAAACTTTGTTCTTCACCATCTTGAACTACACATACGAATTAAGATCCCCCTATTCTGCCAAACACACCACTATGGCCAGTCTCCATTAACTTCAGTCAGGTTAATTCCAGTATGCAAAGCTAAGCCCATGTAATATTTAGGCAGGATATCAGCCCTGTGTGCCTCTTCCACATCCTCTCTGCAAGTGCTGAAGCACCCAGCAGTTTTGTTTCCATCCTGGCTGAAACCTGATAAGGGAGACAGCAGACAGGCCCGTACACTCCATAAATCACTCTTCATGTCTGAGGTATGATGTATGTGTCATAAATCACTCTTATTTATCAATAAGAGTTCTGGCAGATTCTTTTGTATCCTTGCTCTTTCAAGCACCCTTATTTTATTTGGAGGATTTGAGAGGATGTCTTTTTTTTGACATTACGTTTTCAGTGAGCTCATGATGTATTCACTGGTAATCCAGTCATTTTTCACCCATACACATAACACAGTCACCTACACGGAGGTATCACTCCTGGGACCTGCTGACTCAGCAGCAGGGCAGGAGCAGACCCAGGTCTCAGGAGAGCAGGGCTGGAGAGCAGTGTGGAAACACACACACACTCCATCACTGCAGGAGGAAGCACATGGGACTCACCCCACAAATCCATTTGTACAAGACATGCACGACAAGACCTGGACTAGATCATTTGGGTGCTAGCACTGCACAAATCAGCCAGTGATCTCTTTACCTGCTTTAAAATGAAAACCTCTCAAAGCAAATATTTAAAATAAACATGTCATGGATTATAACAAAGCATGACCTCTCAGAAAAGAACAGTGCCAAAGTCTAACAAGGGTGCATATATTCAGTGCTTTTAAAATTGCTCTTGCACATACCTGCTTCTTTATATATAAACTTAATACAACATTCAGACATTTAAGAACACAAGCTTTTTAGTAGCTGACTTTTAATCAGAGTTTGGCTCTATGCTTTGCTCTTTGCTGAGAAAGGAAGGAAGAATCATTTCAGATATAACTAAGCAGCTCAGGTTCAGCTCTGTTTGGTATGGTGGAAGGGGCACAGGGGGCTTTAGTCAAAGGCTGATCACATCACACTCAGAGGAGACGCAGGGCATGCATCATTAAGTTTGCACAGTAAAAATAATAAGACAGGAAAGGTAGAAGTCATGCTCCCAACAGAACTGTCAGATTAGTCCCATTCTACCTTCTGCCTGTTTTATGACACACATACTCAACCTAAAATCACCAAGAATAAAAGCAAGCATCAGAGTAGCAAGATCACCGTTGTTGAAGGTGCATTAAATTTTGCATTTGCTTACTACTACTCCTATATTAGTTGTACCACTAACACTGCATAAACATAAAACTTCCCAGCTGAAATGGAAAAAGGCTGTAGACCTCAAATTGTAAATGTAGTTTTTATTAGCCTGCTGAGAGTTGCTATTAAATATTTATTATAGCCACACCAGAAAGTCCCAGACAGAGACAGGTGACAAAAACAGAGAAAGATCAGATACTGAAGGGAGAAGATGTGAAAAGTGCACAATGAAATACCTAAAAAGGTGTTTGAACCTAAAAAGGTTCAAATCAGTATTGTTTATACTAAGAGTACAACAAGAATTTCCAACAAACTTGTGAATTTTATGTAATACTTTAAGCATTATCAATCTGTAGAACCTAGTACCAAAAATGTCATTGAAACTAATACTTAGATAGAACTCCAGAAGAGAGAGTGTGGAGAAATCCACACCAACAGAAAACCAAATGCAAGTGTAAGCATATTAAATCCTCAGTTACTAGGAGCTATTTCCAGCCACTTAACTGAGAGGAAAAAACTACCCTACTAGAGAAGTTATGCCCATTTCTACTGTATGTTTTCCCCCCAACTTTCCTTTGGTCATCACTGGTTGCTCCAATCAAGTCGTTTCCAGTGTGTTCCTGATGAGAGGAGGCTGTCTATTACAACCAGAATAAATTCCAAGAAGAATTAATGAATTACTCCTAATTGGAGAGCTAAGTGAATAGGTATAGTAGTGTTAGGATTGCTATTATTGTATAATTTAAAAATAATTTCCCAGTAATTGATATTAATGAATGAGTCTATTACACAAGTCATAACTGATCTTGCATCACCTCGAAATGGGTAATGGAATTGACGTGAGAGGGAGCCATGCAGCGAGCGAGGTAATAAAAGAGATTCCTTGCCATAACGCATAAAACGGTACTTATTGATTTCATATTGATGACACTAACCACCTTTACCTCTGAACTACAAAATGTATTTATGAAGCTGAAGGAATATAACCTCAAGCCAGTTCAGTTATTGAAGCACTGAGCTTTTACATACAATGCCCTAGAATTTCTGAGTGATGTCTCTTGTCCACAGGACCATCGATTCTCTGTACAGGGAACTAGTGGAAGAAGGATTAATAATAAAAGCCAAGACCGTCAATCTCTCCGACTATGTTGGTAAAGTAGACATTTTAGAGCTAATATAGTATTTACTCTAACCAAACCTCCAGCAATTCAGTGTTCACTGACCCCTATTTCCAGTCAAGAGTAAATTCAAGAGTAATTACACTTGCAGGACTTGCAAACTTGAATGTCTGAAGCCATGTATGCAAATCAAGACTGTTTCTGCAGAACGCTTAGTACCTTTCACTTCTGCTACTGAAACAAGAACCTGTTTGTAAAGCTGGCTCTTAACTCCAAGCAGTAGCACCTGAAAGCCTTGAATGTTTTTGTATGTCACAAACCACTCCGAGGTGGAACCAGGACATCCTTTAAGGAGCACTGGCCGGGCACTAGCAAGACGGTGCAAGTCTATCGGACCACGCGTTGTAATCCATTCAGAATGTTTCCCAGAGAATAGCAAAAATCACACCTTCTGCATATGTTCATTCAGCAGAAAAGACACACACCCTTTCCACCACCTCCCTGAGTACCCCTGAACTTTGCAGAGTGCTCCGAGACATATCTGGCCCTTGATTTGAGTAAGATGTATCTCTGCCTAGCTCGGCATTTCATAATCCTCTTGCCCACTTTGTTACCTGCAGCTGCAATCAGACATGCTTGCCTACGCTCTATACAGAGAAATAAGGAGAGAAACAAACACAGGCTGCTTAGGGATTTGACACCACCTCCAAAAGCATTTAGTGACATACAGTAAAATCACAGCAACCTTTGGGTTTTTTGCTGCTAAGATTCAGCTGTTTTAGAGGCCACCATTACTGAATTTTGCAGACATCCAGAAGTCATAATGCCACTGGCTGCTAGTACATTATGTATCTGAGCCAGAAAGTCTAGAATCTTGTGCATCACCTCTAAATGCCACGCTTATATAAACTCTTAAAAGCACCAGTTATCACACCAGAAGCTTTGCCGGCTCTGTTGAAAGCTGAATTAAGAAGTATTCTATCCATTTTACACTCGTTAAAGATAAAGTGAAGTAATGGAAGATTTTCATTATTCCTTCATTCCCCCAGTCAATACCATTCAAGGCCACTTTTGTCCAAAACACATTCCCTACCACAGATGTTTTTAAAACATATCTTAGCCAGTGGATAAAGTAACGGAAGATTTTCATTATTCCTTCATTCCCCCAGCCAATACCATCAAGGCCACTTTTGTCCAAAACACATTCCTTACCACAGATGTTTTTAAAACATATCTTAGCCAGTGGATAACAATTAATAATGGTAACATCAAACTTGGAAGCAGGCTGAGATGGCTTTGGGCCACTTTCCCTTGACCCTGAGGCTTGAAGTCTTGGCTCATCTGCAGCACAGAGCAACCTGAGGGCTGCTCCCAGTTACACCAGCAATATTCACTTCCCAGCGGCAGAAGATACTGGACATAGAAGTGCAGAGCCTGGCAATATTCACCTGACCACCTACACCCATGCCAGGTCCCCCACGTGTCCCAGGCACAGGTGATTGCCCATGCAGACCAGGCAGCGAGGAGGTGGCCCAAACTGTCAGAGTCAGCTTTTCCCTATTCAGGACTCAGTCATGCTTCTTGAGCTGCCAGAACAAGATATAAAAGGTATTTAGATTTGGCCTATAATCTGGACTGAAATTTATTTTTATTCTTTTTTTAATAAAAGAAAAATTCTCTCTTTAAAGGTCCAAGGACTTAGTCAAAACCTGCAGAAAAATGAGTCCTCATCTGCTCAGCTCTTACAGAGCACAAGCCTAAGGAAGGTCACTTACTCCCAGTTTCTGGGAGAAGGGCAAAAATTGGAGTTGTGCTACACCGCAAGTAAAGGCGCTGAAATGTCCCCCCTCTATGACAAACCGACATCAGTGAACTAATTTTCTTGGTGACCTTATCTAAATTAGTCAGAGAATATCCACTGTGATTTATGTTCAGTTGCAATTAAACCCTTTGATGCCTTCTAATTAAATCTGTGAAGATTAATTCCTATCCAGTTCTTTTGATTTCTCCTTAAATAAAAGATAAAACCTGAAATTAATTTTATTCTTCAGAAGGGAGGGGGCAGTTGCACCAGGGCTTGTCTGCTTTTTTGCCCCCAAATTACAACTCCATGTTCTCTCTTAACCATCACTAATCTACCTCTGCTCCAGAGAGCTCTAGTGCTCTCCCTTTTTATCTCCAATAAAACATAATATACTACTATTTTTCCATAATATTCATTGCAATGACATCTCATTTGTGCTAAAAAAATAATCACTGACTACATTGCCACAGCTAGTTTTCTTACTTGTGACCCATCCTTCTGGATCTTTGTTCTCTCATGTCTTGTATATGGATTTTGACAGGGCAAGTAACGCGATTATGGCTCTGTAACAAGAGCTGAAGAAAGATTAAATCGTTTTGGTTCATGTCAGGGATTTTAAGTCTTCTTGGGCTGTTTTGTGGAGGTTGTTGGGATTTTTTTAAGCAGAAAAGGGGAACTGCAAAGCAAAGAGCCCCACCAAATTAGGTGACACACTTAAATATCTAACAGTGAGAAACTGAGATGTGATGAAGCCAGGGGAAAGCTTGTTAAAATTTCTTTTCCTCCTGTTTCAAATCCTTTTGATAGAGTGTGGTTCACTGAGATTCCAGCCCTGCAAAAGCCCAAATCTAGAAATCCTTTGCCAGCAGTGTGATTTATGGGGCTACTAATGATTCTTCTCCACAAAGTTTCTTTAAAAGGTTACTCGAGACCGACTGCTCAGCTGAACGCCTTCCACAGTCTGGAAGGGGAAGCCCATAGCGTGTTTGACTTCATTTTCCTTTGCCGTTCACCGTTCAAATTTCTCAGGGCCACATTCCACAGCGATATTGCCCTGCCCGAGTCCCTGTCCCTTGACAGTACTGGGTTTGCTGAGAGCACATTATATTGGTATTCTGTGGTAGTTTTTCATTACTTGAGTTATGCATTTTATAACAATGCAGTGTCACATTTATTAAGCCCATGCTTCCTCCCTACAGGCGAGTACAACTATCTGGGGAGCCTACTTCACCAGGCAGACCGAGAGCCAGTGCCCTCTCCCGCACATGTCAGGCAGCTAATAGCGCTGTACGGAATATTGCCGTTAGGTAAGAGCACGGCAAAAATGACTAGGGGGCAAAATACAATGGCTTTGCTTCCTGTCAGTAACGTGCATTTTTACTGGCTTTGACAGGGCTTGATTAATCGTAATCTAAAGCATTTTGCAGTATAATTGTTTTTCAATTAAGCCTTCTGAGCAAAGACCGTATCATTTTAATAGTGCATAAAGGAGCTTGCACATGCTATTGTCAGGTATTGCATTTCCATACTGTCTCTGTTTGCATGTTAACAGTTTGTGAATGGCAGCACATAAAAAGAAATCGCTTGGGAAAGATAATAGCTAAAACAAGCTCCAGTGATCAAAATTAATCAAGTTAAGGGAAGGGCTAAGGTTGCAATTTACCTTTCACAAGCTGGCTAATGTTACTCAGCACCAAACAACGCAATCATTTAAGGAATTAGTTTGAATACATTTTGTACATTTGTACAGTGCTCTTGCAGTTTTAATGCCAGACTTCACCAATATCTAACAAGGCTTTGCCAAGTCCAGTTGTTTGATTTTAACAGAAAATGTATCTCATATTTTACTTGAGAATAGCATTAAGCCAAACTCTAGTGATTGCAAGAAGTGCCTGTCTCAAGGGTCTCTATGCATACTTCACTTGCATCCTTTTCCGTTCCTGATTGGATTTCGGGGAGGTTTCAGCTCAGCGTTATCTCCTCCCAGGCTGTGTCATTGTCTGCTGATGCCCTTTAGAGGGCAAAAGAGCTGACATCTCCTGGCCTCCCGTTGCAGAAAACAGAGCAAAGCTGACACAGATCTCCTGCTTTTCAGTCCCCATTGCACACCTTCCAGAAAGGCCAGTGCTTGGGCTGTTCTGTGTGCACATGCTCTGTGGCTCTCCTCAGGCATTTCCTGGATCCCCCTGTCCTCCAAGCAGGCTCAATGTGCTGCAAATTGGCTTCACTCAGGTTTCAGGTAGAGAAGAACTCTCCTGCCGCCCTACAGCTCAATCTGAAGAGGGAGGTTAACAGCACCCCTGCCTTCAATCCAGGCAAGAGGAAAGAGAACCCATAAATTTTCTACCACTTATACAATTTACTAAAAATATAGGGAGAAGAAACTCTAGACTGTTTAAACAAAACAGAATGTATTTGCAATAGCAATTTGAAAAATGCCTTTGATTAAAATTAAAAAAAAGATATTGCATGAGCCAAAAAAAAAAGTGTGATGTGTTATGGGCAATGTGTTATGGATGACATTTATTTAATTGGCCTCAAAACTAGTTAATCATTATATAATTGTGTATGTGTAGAAGTGAAAGTTTATCCTCAAAATAGTCACCTGATGGGAAGGAAAGCTCCAGCTTAAATGGCATTGAGAAAATTATAAGCAGCTGAAAGGAGAAATAATAGTAGAAGATATACTTCATCTTTAACCACAGAGGAGTCTGCTGCTCCCCTCATAATAAATCTATGTGTAATAGTAATAGATTGGTATGGAATGACCAAATATTAATAAAGCCTGGGTGGCTGACAAGTTCACTACATCCTGCACAGTGCCGAAATAACGGCATTCATCTTAACACTCAGTCCTGTTGGACATTAAAACATTAGGACATGGATAGAGAGCCTGACTGGATTTTTTTTAAATACCATTCTTACCTATCTGTCTCCCTTAACCTGGAGAACTTTTCCAGGCTGAGCCACAGGCTCTCTCCCCAGCCCATCACTTTGGAGGCTGGTTTCCTCCATGAGTCCCATAGTCACCAGTCCCAAAGACCTTTAGAGGCAGCAGATACAAAGTCAGATTCGAAGGTCTGATGGAGTAACAGCCACCACTACTGACACAGGGTGTTTTTAGGCATGGAGGGAGCGATGTTACTGGGCTACCAGTAGGTATGGAAAAAGCATTTGACATTTCCTGCTATTTCCATCTCTGAAGGGTCACTTGCACTTAATTCATACAGTGATAGAGCTTCAGGGAAGACAGGTTCTGTCACCATCAACCACCTAAATCTCTCTCTGTGGTTCTGTTTTCACAATGCAGGCACTTCTACTAGGCTTTCCCAGGCTCTGAAGCATATTTCTTACGGCCCAGAATGGATTTACCTGGAGCAGCCGTAGAGATAGATTTAAAAAATGCTGAGCAGTCGTGGCTGCTGACAGAGCAAGTGAAGCATAGCAACCCTGGCATTTCCTCACCTGAATAAAATAAAGGGAACAGAAAAGGAGTCCCCCTCTCCTAGGAAATAAATATATCGTACCTGCTCTGCAACATGCAGCTGCCACATTCCGGACTGGGGAATAATACTGGCTCCTGTGCAGGCAAGCTAAAACTACGCTCAGCAGGCGCATGTCGCGGGGATAACAGCAGTGAAGGATTTTGGAGCATGGCTAGCCTAAGTGACAAGCAGTCCATCTTCCATGCTCACTGAATAGCAATAACATTTAAGAGAAAAAAATTACACAAGGAGTGGTGGTGTATGCAGAAGGTAAAGGAGAGAAAATAAAACACGTGGTAACATCTGGTTTCAAAATTACTGACAAATGCAGTTCCAACAGACAGTCCCATTAGTTTCTTTTCTCTAAAGATAAGGAAGCTGGAAAGTGTCATTTCAGAGAGGAGGAAGAAATTCTGCTAGTCCTACACCCCACGTGAATCCGCATCCTCGTCCAATTGCAGAAAGTGAGGACCTGCTCTGACAACAAACGCAAAGCTTAAAGCCACAGACACATCCCTAACTCTGCCTGCAGCTGAGGGGAGGCAGTTGCCCCTGTGCAGAGGAGCAGACTTTTCTGTACACACAGCCACCAGCAACAGTGGCATTTTAGTGCTCCTACCTTGCATCCAGCCTCAAAAATTTACCAATAAATTACTATTCTTTTAGCTCACGCAGATTTAGAGCTGAAGTTTGCCCATCAGAAGGCACAGATAAGGGTGGTTGAGCCTTCCAATGAATGGGGATTTTAACTCAGCCATACTACAGCCACAGCTCTGGCTATATAGAATTGAACGTAAGAGCACTTGTGCCCTATTAAGGAAACAATGAATTCACATTATAAATTATTTATAGTGAAGAGAAAAGGAAGAATCATTCCATTATCTTTACGGCAAGACTTAAATGAAAGCAATAATAGTGCCTTATGACTTTTTACAGGTTCCCAAACAGTCCATGAGAAGGCTCCTTTGGTGAAATCTTTGTTACTAGCTGGACCTGCTGGTGTTGGAAAGAAAATGTTGGTCCATGCCATCTGCACAGAAACAGGAGCCAACCTCTTTGACTTATCTCCTTCCAACATCGCTGGGAAATACCCAGGCAAGAATGGCCTCCAAATGATGCTTCACATGGTTCTCAAGGTATTGCCTTTTGTGTACTTCTCTACATCTTTTATGAAATAAATAGGGAACCGAATTGTAGTTCCTCCATACTGAGGAACATACACACCAGTCATATGCAGGCAAAGCTGCCCGAGGTCCAAAGGACTGCCAATCCACTTTGAAATTCCCTCCCTGCTTTCAAGTTTTCAGAACTACTTATTGATAGCCAGTGTGTGCATTACTGTAGAAGATTTAATGCCCTTTGAGAAATCGCTCATAGTAGCCTTATTTTTCACATTAACCTTTATGCAAGCTTTGCATTACCTTGAGTATGAAAAGAATCATAGATAAAGAAAATTCTGTTCTCTGTTTATATGCACATCAGTCAGGTATGCCTGTCATGTAGCATTTAATCAAATACTAGACTGGGGGTGGTCAAAAATTTCCTCTCAGGGACTGTTGCTGTAAAATAGCTCTCCCCTATACTGCTTCTCTGTTTACCTCTCAGCAAGCTTTTCAAAAGAGGGAATCCTAGTTCAGGATTACATTAACAGAAACGTATGAGAAGTCTGGAAATGAAAGAAGGCATATGAACTGTGAAGGACATATCCCAAATCCTCCTTAGAAAAAAAGACACTATCCTGGCACGCTTTCTTCCACATTTTAAATCCTCAGTGTTTCTGCTAAGGAAGGAAATTAGTAAACATTTCCAGATAAAATAGTCTAAGAAAGAAAAACGCAGCACATACAATAGAAAAAGCCAAATACAATATTCTTCTAGTGCCAGAGGCCTGCGGAAGGGCTCGATTCAAATTGGCTTTCCATGGAATTTATCAGATGTATTTTACTAAATCCAGTATTATAGCAGGTTTTTGTGACAGGTGCCTCCATCCCCAGAGAAGACAGGTTTTACAGCTAAAAGCAAAGCAATCCCCAAGGACCCCTTTTCCTGCTGGTCTGAACAGTGCCTAAGGAAAAGCAAAGGTGCTGTGATCATGCACCTTTGATGCTGTAACGCTTAACACTGGGTCTAGCACTCCCTGACACAAGCAAGTGCCATTAGCCTGAGCTAGTACTTCGTCACCTCCCTCCGCTCTGCACATGTCACCCTGCTCCACTTAGTTTCTCTGCCCTCAATAGCGAAGCACACATCTGGCTGCAGGCACAGCGCACACACCATCCTTTCCATCATCTAGTCCCTGCTAGAGCACAAGGCCTTTAAACACAGGAGAAGGGAGGGCAGCCTTCTCATTCCTATAGAAGGTTCCAGCTGAAGATATTAAGGGCTTCTGTGTACATACGTATAACACATAATAACCAAAATGTTTGTAAAACATATGTCAGACTCATCTGTTGTGTATAATGTACACACACTTTATGTATATGTGTCCAGAAGTCTAGATATAGGTATATAAAACCCCTTACATTTTTCCATATTGCCTAAAAACAAGTAGAAACATTATCCAACACGTGCCTCAAAATTACAGGGAGGAGTCCAAGCTTACTTCTCTACTGTAAGTCTTACAAAGGCAGCAATGACACTTTGGTGAACTTCTGGGAGTTACTGGAATGAAAGTTGCTTGCAGTCAATCACATGGAATAATGGCTGTCCAGGCACTGGCTTATCAAAAGGTAACTTGTTCCAACTGCAGCAGCAGTACTGCTTCAAACTCCGCTCCTTTAACAACAGCGCAAATGGCACAGTGCAGAGGATCTCTTTCCAAAGGATACATCATCTGCTCATTTCCGTGCACACTCATATTGACATCACATGTCTTAGCATCATCAGCTGTGTTCAGTTTCCATTCCTAATTCCTTTGGTTGTTACACCTTTCCCTGCCACCTTCTGTCCCTACAGCTGTGTCACTCATTTGTCCAATCTGCTGATGACTTCAGCTGAGATTCTATAGGTTCTCAGAGCCAGGCTGGAAGCCGCCCTCCATCCATTTAGGCTCTCACCTCTGCAGTTGCAATCCCTGGTGGTTTCTTGTTGGTCTTGGCAAAGTCAAATGTATCTCATTTTCCCTCCCTCTGGAAATTCTCAAGTCCCTGCCACAGCCATCCACTCCATTTCTCCTGCCATCAGTTGCTAGTTCTTTACAGCATGGGGTTGAGTAACTCCATGTAGCAGCACAAAGAGGTCCAGGCTGTGGTCCACCAACTAGACAGCAGTCCTCAGAAAGGACTGAGGGTTAAGCACAGCAAGTTGAACACAAGTCAACAGTGTGTCCATACAGCAAAGTCAGCCAAATATTCATCGGCATCAGCAAAAGGATAGCCAGCCTCCTGAAGCAACTAATTATTTCCCTGCTGCTTGGCACTTATGAGACCACAAATGGACACTGTGCGAGAAGGAGTCTAACTGCTGTTTTCAAGGGGCTTCATGGGAAGAACAGAGCCAGACTTTTCCCAGAGGTGCACAGTGATAGCACAAGAGGCAACAGATACAAGTTACAGCAAGGGAAGTTGTTTATGTGTTAGGGAAAATGTTCCACAAGGAATCAAAGGATAAAGAATCTTTTATATCCCAATTTGCAAGAATCTACTGTTACCCCAACTGAAGCAAACACAAGGCCAACACACATTGAAAACAAATTCCTCGTCAAGAGGAAGTTGACAAGGAGTTGTATTTACCTGGTATTTGCCAAAAAACGTTTATTTTTTCACCGTGGTACAAAAGCAGTGTAAACATATATGAATTATTGTAAGACTAAAATATGCCATTGTACATAGAGCAGACAAGCCATGGAAGCAAATGATATCTTGCAGTTGACATGCAATATTTAATATTCACAACTCTCAGTCTACTATCTGACACTCCATAGCACCTTGTTACAGTGCCTTGCATGGAGTTGACCTTTAGGTGCAGTTTTTGCTGCCAGGCACCATAAAAGCCTGTTCCAGCTCACCCCGACAGGCACATCCCTCCAGCCGACAGCACGTTGCTTCTCCAGACTGGTGGTTGCACTTTTTTTTTTTTAATAATTCTCTTAGGGTTAATAATTCTCTTAGCACATCTCCATAATCAGACACTTTAGGTTAGGATTTTTTGCAAACAGCAACTATGACTGTTGTCAAGCAAGCTTTATAGCCAGCCTTCCAGAAATGCTGTATGTAGAACTAGTCAAACAGAATACAGACCTTCCGCTTAGAGCTGTAAGCAAATGACAGGAAACGTGACAGTTCTTTTTCTGTTATCTTATGATCCATGTAACCATCGTTAAACACCAAGATTTAGTAAATCAGAATTAATGGTGCTCTGTGATAAAGGTGAAGTAACCTTGCACTTTTGATTACCTATCATATCTGCAATCAGCAGAGTTCCTATAATGAAAGGAAACTCCAGAGAGCATAAAATGACCATTAGGAAACTTTCCTTCCATAACCAAGTGTTGGCTGCTGGCAGTTGTTCCATGGGAGACACCCTAAACAAGTGAATAGCATTGGAAAAAATGAAACTTTAATTCATTTCAGATGCAAGAGCCAAATTCTTTCCTCCCCCTCCCTTATTTCAGGGAGGAGTCTTGCAAGAGACATACCAGCCCTGATCCAAAGGAGAGGAGTATGTATTACTGAAAGTAGGCATATTTAATGTCATATAGAGGAAATGACTTCTCATACCAGAACAGGAAAACACCAACATTTCAATCTGCGTATTCAAAGGAAATGGAAAGAAGATTAATATTGAATAGGGAACCTATTGAAAGAAGCTGCAAACACCAAGCCTGAGCACTTGTGTTCTCCACAAAGGCACAGCAAAGCCTGCCAGGTCAGCTCTGCTTCAGAGTGAAGAGAGAATCTGTCTCTATATTAGAGGCACTTCCCAGCAGTCCTCAGAATAAAGCTCATCCTTACAAGCATACCAGAGTATGCTGGAATATTTCAAATAAGCCACATTTTCCATGTATTGAGCCAGTCTGAACTGGCAGAGAGCTCCACTGTTTGTACCCGCCCATGGTTTGGCTCTCCCATGTTCCCACCAAGGCACAAAACACCACTGCAGTGTGACAGCTTATATTAAAAAAAAAATAAAAAAATAAAAAAATGCAACAACAGATAGCGAAGGATGCATAGAAACAAAGACAAATCTAGAAAGGATCAAGAAGGTAAAATGCATGACTCCATGACGCAGAAGTGTAAAAATGGAGGTAGCTCGTAAGGCTTAACTCCAAGGCAATAAAAATGACAAGCACTGGCCTTCCATTAGCAACCATAAGGCAGTCATCAGGTTAATCACTACCAGAGCGAGACAGTCCCTCTTGGGTTCTTTACCAGGGCCACAGCAGCACACAGAAAGCACATTGTACGAAAAGCCACATATGGGAAAAAATGTTATTAGTGTAACACTGGCCAGGCTAAAAGGTTGGGAAAGAGGTGGCCAGGAGGAAATGCCAACGGAGAAGTCGTGTGTGTGTATCAACAGCTCAAGTGTGCGCTGCGCAACCGTCTTCGCTGAGCGAGGAGTTTTACAGAGCAGCAAGCTGCAGAAGTATTTCAACACCATCACTTCTAGGGGACTGTTAGCAGGCTATTTGATTAGGCTGTTTAGCAAGTTAGAAGTGACTATAAAAGTGTTATACCAAAAAAGAAATACAATGAGTTTATTTAAGATTGAATTCAATGATCCCAGCGTTTAGAGTCAAATGGTCTTTAAGTCTGTCAGGTTTTTTTCCTCTGCATCAGATTCATTTATTCATAACTACTGTTGTATCGTCCCCTCAGACAGATCATTCTTCTGGCAGTCTGAAGGACTAGGTACAGTTTACCCTGGTACACTGACAGAAGTCTGTATTATTTAGCATTTGCGTGCCACACAAAGCTTTTCTATTGGAGCTGAAAGTTTGGAAGCAGCACTGGCAGCCTTTCTTCCAGGCATCCCAAAGCAATTCTTTTCTCTCTCTGCAGTTCAGCCTGCTGGAAGCCGAGAACCTTGAAGTGTTAAATCTCATCAGTTCTCAAATATATGGTGTTAATTCCCTTGACAAAGCAGCTTTACATTGTGTTGCTCTAACTTCAAAAAAAAAAAGGAAAAAAAAAAAGGGATCCTGTTGGAAGACAGTATTTTTAGTTATTTTCTGTCTAACAAACCAGAATGCAGTGTCATCACTTTAGCATTGGAATATTGGTCTAGCGAGGCTCCCACAGGTCTCATCACAAGTTTCAGCATCTTGCTCGAGCTGCTGCAAAGCATTTCTGTGAATACAAACTAGACTGTTGAGCAGTATTCAGCAACAGCTTGAGCTTCCAGAAAGTCTTAGTCTTGGGCCTTTTAAAAAAACTTCATCAAAGCCTTCAAGTTTGAAGGAGCCTCGTGCCTGTAAGAATCAAGTTTCTGTATTTCCATGTGTAGCAATTTAGCTGTTAAACTCTGGCTCCCAAGTTAGAAAAGTTCAACCCAAGGCTTTCAAAAATGCCACTTGATCTTTGATGAATGTTGACAGACAGCAGGATGAGAAGGCTTTTTTTTTTCCCCAGTTGTGATTTTCCTGAAGAGCAAATCCAGCCTCTTGTGACCCACCAGAGCAGGGTGTGCAGCGCAGGCGGCTACGGGATTAGAAGGGTTAAGGAGCCATCTGCTGGCAGCTCCCACAAATTGTTGAATGCAGCAAAGCTAATAAAATTTCAATTACAAATTAATTATGTACAGTGCATTTAATTATCCATGGATTAAAACTGTCCATGGATAATTCAAATGAAGCACTTTCACCGGGGATATACAGTCTGCTGCATATCTGCCAACAATTTAAATTAGATGCCAATGGATTCTGGGTGTCTGACCTGCCTTAAAAAAAAAATTAAAAAAAACACAAACAAACCCCCCACACACACACAAAAAAAATATCCAGGCCCAAAGACAGTGTGTTGAATTTGGCTGTACTGATGTGTAGGACACTTTATACATTTAGATCATTGTCTCAAAACAGAAAGCACAGAAAAATACCTCTTTAAGAAAGAGCCAAAGTGAGGTTATTCATTGTATTTCCACTTACTCAGTGGGGAAATAAAAGGGACAAGAAAAAGGTGACATGTGTGACAGTGAGCATTCTTTAAGAGTTAAAATTAAGTATTTGTCTGATTTAAAACTTAAGGCTCCATTTTAGAGGACAGATGACCACAGAAGTCATCTTTGAGCCAAATGGGGAAGATCTGCCTCTCCCCAACTGCGGTGGCCCTGCCGAAAGGGCAACACAGTTCCCTTTGAAGTACTTTCACCAACAGCTTTTATAGCCTCTGTAACCCCCGCCACCCTTGTTCCCCCTCACATCATGCTGGGGCATCAGACACACGGGTATGGAGAATGTATTGCAGAAGAGCTGCATTACCTCGCAAAGCAAAAATTCCAAAGAAACCTTACGAAGCAGATGCACAGCACCTCTTTGGTCGTAAGCATGAGTGAAGTGGGAGGAAAAAGCATCACAACAACAACAGCAGATCCCACAGTGATAACAGTTTATCAGGGTGGTAATACATGCACACCCAGAGTCTGTAAACTCAAGTAAAAAGCATGCCACCAGCCCAATCTTCACTCAGGGGAGCAACCTCTGACTGCCTCATATCCTGCCTGACATCCTCTCCATGCACACACAGAGCAGGAAGGAAAAAAAAAAAAAATTATTGCTTGTTTCAGAAGGTAAAAGTCACCATCAGAAATATCAGAAAGCCCCAGCTAATAATCCATGGATTAGCAGTGCCAAGTTCAGTAAGGGTCTCTGAGGCAGTTTCCACGTGTCACAGAAGGCATCATAGCGGGTGCACAAAATGCAAGTGCAGTTTCAGAAGCTATAGGTTTCTTTTAGAGACGTAAATTGCATCTATATTTTTCTTTCCAAGTCTTAGTTTAATGAAGAACATCACTTATCCCAGCCCTGCTATATGACCATGCTACTCTTCTTCCACCACTTGTCTCCAAACCTGTTTGCAGACATCTAGGAGATAACCAAATTCACCTGCGAGTGCGAATCACTAGGACGGACTCACCTTTTCTGCAGGTGCCTGAGCCCTTGCCTAGCAGGAGACTCAGCAGAAAAATCCCCGAGTCTAAGGCTGCTGCAGAGCTCGGTTCAATGAAACCCACAAGCTTGCCCTCTCAAACATACCAAAGCCTGTGCAAACTCTGCAAGGAATATAGCAAATATACCTCTGAAAATAGATAAATAGGAGGTAAACAGAAAAGCATCTGGCCTTGAAAAATGGCAGATATCATTGTGATACAGTTTTAATCTGTCATTTCACTCTGGCTTGTACACTCAATACACTGCTGGACCGAGAACCTACCCCTTAAGTTGTAAATGCAGATAAATATTCACATAACTGTTTAGGCCCACATGTCAGCTTCTGCAGGATTTTTGTAATATCTTTCATGATATTTATTTTCTAAATCCTCATTATTAACGATAAACATTTGAGCTTCTGCCTCCCAACAAAGGAAAAAAAGCTGAGTTTTCCTCAACAAAACTGTTCTGAACTTGGAGATACCACTTGACATAGTCTAGCACTGACAAGTTACCACAAATAAAGTGTCACATGCCAAAGGTGGCATTGCTTCCACATCACACCAGCAGCAGCACAACGGAGCAAACAAGTTTAACCAGCCCTCATCTACTATTCTTCCCCCCTCTCTGTCTTCAACCCACTTTTACTGTACAGACACATACTTCAGTGCTTTTGAAATGCACCCATAAAAAATGAACTGTGGTGCTTCTAAGAAAGATTTTATGATTTAATTCTTCCTACCCTGGCTGTCAATCAGACACCGAGCTTGTGGTGTATACAACCTATTGAATTTATAGGCTTCCTTCCTGGAAGCAGCAGCTTCAGCTGGGAAGGGGGGAACGGGACAGAAGAAGGCTGTCACTCTCTGGTTACCCATTGACTCTTCGAGCCATTACTTTCGTTGCTGGGCAGACTAGCACAGCACAGAGAGCCGCTGGAAAGTGATTAAAATTTGGCAGCAGAATGTCTAAACCGCTGGCGTTTCTATAGCAATAGGGAGAGTGCAAGATGTGAAAAAGCCTGTAGCATTGCTGCCATCCTGCTGTGAACCAGAGGTATAGTGCCTCTGACTTTGGAGATGGAAAGCCCATTTGTATAGACAACCCCCCTCCTCCTTCAGATATAACAGGTTCCATTTTAATTCTTGGGCTAGCTGCAAATTAAACGCTATTTTGTAAGCCGGAAGATTGCACGTCAGCCTATTTTGCTTAAAGATTAGTATCTTCATTTCTCATGCAGTAGCCTTGTCTTGCTTGTCTCCCCATCTGTATTGCCCTTGGAAAAAGGGCAGCCAGTCTAAAGCTGCTGCTGGTCTATCATTTGCCCTTCAGCTCCAAACCCAGGCTTCCTTTTGCAGAACTGCAACCAAAGGTGGGTTGAAAAATGAAAAGATAAGCATAGCAGCCAAAATGATCCAGTTTAGGGGGTTCTTTACATTAGATTCATAATTAGAAACTGTTTGATTTGCCAAGGCTGCTGAGCAGAGCCAGGACTATCTGTAAGTGCTGAACATTTCTGGAAAAAAAATAAACCAGGCTAATTTTAACTGCTGAAATATGGATTTAAAGGTATAATTATAGGCACCCAAGTATGAAACTGTAGCCATTTTAATGAATTTCTTGCCTTCTCCCATTTTCTCTTAGGTGGCTAAGCAATTACAGCCTTCAGTCGTGTGGATTGGAGACACAGAAAAAGTATTTTCTAAAGCGGTGGTGAAGGTTGAAGAAGAGGTGAGTTGCTCCTTTTTTATTTCAGTGTGGACAATTTCTCCTATTGCATTACAAGCAACACAAAGGAACAAGTGTATTTCTTAGCTTAGCACATACTAATATGACCAGACCTGCCAAAGCTTGCTTGATAATAGCTTGTCGCACTAACTTTTTTCTTTTCAGAGTCTTGTGACTTCTTAAGAGCCCCCAAGAGGTCATATTTCTTTCCCACACACCTATACTTGCTTTATTTAAAAATAGTCCAGTCACTGCTCATCAGTGCACTGAGAAGTAGAAGAGAATAATAGAGAATTTCAAAATACAAGGCAAAAAACTAGAAGTTAAGATGAGCTTAAATTGTTCAGCTCTATTAATTTGAGAAATTGAATGGACCCAAACTGAACAATAAAGTAACAAGGATAAATTTCCACTGTGAAAACAAAGAGCCTGCGTTAAGTAGTTATGTTTACGTATTTTCTTTGGGCTCCCAGGAGCCCTATTGCCATTGCTTCCATTCCTTGCTCCCTTGTGCAGCTTCCCCACTAGAAAGAAAATTAAAACACTGCCCAGTAGGCACAGCAACTCAACCACCACAGCAGAGAGCAATTCACCTGAAATCTTGATTAGATTCATGCTGCTGGCAAAATATTTTAGAGCTCCACATGAAAAATTAAACCTTTTTTCTTAAGGTAAGCCTGTGCACTTAGGCTGTAGGATGGACCCAACCTGTATTTTGGAAGAGCAATGAAGCATCACTTCAGATGAGGCTGTTGTTTCCGTTTGGGCTGTATGAGCTGATGGGTGTGCAGTGGTTGATGCCCTCTATTTTTTTACACCCAAAAGGAACCTCTCTCTTGGGTTCAAACCTCCACAAGTGCAGGTGGGTATTAAAATTAAGACTAGAGGCCAAAGATTGCCTGGAGCAATTGCAACCTTTGGCTGCTTTGATTTCCTCCAATAAGTAAAAAGTTCTTCCCATGCCCACCTCGGTCAGCAGTATCTCCTCCGTAGACCTACAGGTATTTAACAAAAGATCTCATGTTCTTGATGGGAATGGATAGCTCCAGGCTTGAAATCACTCACAGCCCACATAGTTCAGCTCTCAGAAGCAGACAAAGTTAGTGGAAGTCATTTTACTCATCCCAGCATAACACTTCTGGCACCATTACTAAGAACCTGGTAAAAAGAAGCCTTAAATTCTTCAAATAACCACTAGAAAACACCTCCCTAGAGGATGTAAAGCAGTCATATACAAATATTTTACGGTAACCCAGTGGCCAAGGATGATGTGCAAGCAGTCCAGTCACTCATGGTTGAATAAATAGGGGTCACCTTCACAATTCCCCCCACTTTTCTCCAGCTGAGATCCACATGGTGGCTGAAATCATAGCTCACCTCTTCAACAGCCCTTTTTGCTACTGACATATCTCCTCCACTTTGAAAGAAGTATTATTAGCTTTCAGGACATGTGCGTGCTATGGACACACACTGGTTTCACATGTGTAACAGGAGCTTCTGGCACATGAATTCCAGTCTGGCTTAGTAGGCTTAACATGAATGGAGTGTTTTGCTTGGTCTCTGATACTGGTTCAATCATTCAAAATTTTAAAATTAAGATTCCTGCAAGCTGAGCAATGAACACGTGCTGTAACTAACTCTAGATCATGAATCCATGAATATCATTTGTCACCCAAAAAAATTATGCAGGAGATAAATTGGGACTTATTTTCACAAGTAAGAGGTGAAATAAGAGTCAGATAATTGTTTTTTAAAATTCTCTGCATCTCCCAATAGTCAGTTTCTCCAGCAGAAGATATACAAGCCCAGGAAAAAAACCTCAAAACATGTCTCACTTGAAGCAACTATTATCTTCTGTCATTTCAGTGAGAAGTGACTGACAGAAGATAATACCTCCCACCTCCAAACCAAAAATAATTTGATAATTCTCACTTTTCCAGCAATATTGATACCTCAAAACATCCTAGAGAACATTTGTACTTTCTTTGATTACGCATGAAAAGAAGAAAGTCTTGAGGCTGATGAGTAGCAACAGATACAAATGACAGTAATTGAGTCAGAGTAAAACGTGTCAAAACCAAAGTAAATCCACATTTTTGTCATTGCTGTGACAAGATGTCCCTGAAAGAACAAAGGTCACAAGGTTGGCTAAAACTTCCAAGGTAGATGTGTTACAGCAGCTTGTCTAATCATCACAGAAGCCTAGTTCATTACCAAAAACTTCCCAACAAGCAAATTTTGGTGAGAGCTTGTGATTTGAAGTCATGCCCTCAGGCAGCAAACACAATATGTGAGTGTGGACAGAACGACAAGAGAAAAGCCAGGACTACTACTGCTGCATGGGCAGACCTTCTGTGGTTACAAAGCACATTCTTTGTGATCTGGTGCAGGCATCCCACTCTCCTCAGAGTACTGGGTGCATAGGCATGACAAGGAGAAGGTGGAAAGATGGCAGGTGGCATTGAGTGGTGGCCACAGGAACAGTTCATCCAAGAGCAAGAACACGACCAGGATCTATCGTCCTGGGTCGGCCACATGTCCACGCTCTAAAGTGAGATCTAAGCCCCAATGCTAAGACATGCTTAGTTCATTACCATAATGAAGCAATTGGCAAATTTAGGAAGATGGGTAGTATGACCATGGAGATGCAAAAAGTAAAGAAACACATTTTGTAATTAAGATGAGTTTAGCTAGAAAATAGCTGTTTGACTCTACCCCAAGATTTTGGGAATTTCTTATTGATTTCCCAGTTTTCCCTCTTCTTTAGCTTTCACTGAAAAAATCCCAGAGGTTTCTCTCTTTTCTGTCAGCTAACAGAAACTGCAGACAGTAGAAAAATTGGATCACAAAGGTTGTACATGCAATGTGGATTTGCAGGTGTTTATTATTGCCTTTCAGCTAAGAAGGTTTGCAGGACAGTTTCTTCCTCATTGACATTAAGGAAGATTGATCTGAAATTGAAACTCAAGTGTTTTAGGGAGTTGTCTACTAAAAAAAAAAATTAAAATAATCACTACTAAATACTAAGAAAAAACCCCAAAAGATAAGATCACAAGATGATCTGGGGAGTAAAATGTTGGTGACGTGGATCTTAAGTCCCAATCATTTTTAGAAAGAAGCTTCCAAGTCATTAGATTTACCTGATACACTATCCTAACCCAGTTATTCAAGTCATTAGACTTATCTGATACACTGTCCTAACCCAGTTATTCATTTGTAGCTTTATTAACAGTAGAACACCATCACAGCAATTTGATTAAATTTCTCCAACCGATGTTCACTTGTACAATATCAAACATAACTATCCAATAACAGGCTTTCCTCGATACTCATCTATTCTGTAAATAGTAGTCAATTGTTTGTTATGAAGTCAAACAGTAAATTATTGCAAAGAAATGAATCCTCAATTCAAAGAGCTTGTGTTCTCGGGTGAGAGCCTCAGCAAGCTAGAAATCACAGCAAAAATCAAGGAGTGTTTTTCACATATAAACCATGGGCAGGAGTTGGTAGACCATAACCTCCGATAGCTCAAGCCATCCCAGATTAGAAAAATTGCTGAGGTATGCCACCTATCTGTTAAGGTTCATCAGGTGTGCAGGTTCAAGCAATATTTCTCCCTGAATTGGAAATTAGGGTTTTCTTCTTTAAATGAGTTGTTTCCTTCCTGCTTTTCAATAACAGGACCAGCACTAGCACAAACCCACAAATAAGTAAGCAGACATCAATTTCAGAAGACAGAGGCTTTCTACTCAAGTTGAGCATCTAGTTGTCTTATACTAAATGCAGCTGGCCAAAAAAAAAAAAAAGGCACAATATCATACTGTATATAGCACATCTACAGCTTCATCTCATTAAACTGTCAGTATGGGTAACAGCTCTTTTTCCTCCTTTTATTTACATGTATGCACTGAAGATGAACCCAAAACGACTGGAAAAGGTCCTCCCCAAATTCCTTCATGCTTTGAAAGCACCAGACAGAGTACTGCTAGTGGGAACAACCAACCGTCCCTTCGATGCCAATCCGAAAGCTTTCTGCAAAGTTTACCAAAAAATCATTCTGATTCCTAGGCCTGACTACACTTCAAGATTTGGCAAGTATTTCAAGTCATCCTGATGATTACCATGTTTAAAATCCGTGCTTGTTGTCTGATCATCCTCAGAACTGACTTTAAACTCAATTCATACCCCAGGTATTAATTCTCAATACCTGAAGACTTAGATAATACTGGTACAGACTACCCCAAAGATCCATTTTTATTACTTGAAGTTGAGAGAAGAGTTTAAAATGCTGTTCAGTAGTGATCAGCATTTTTTCATGCGTTGTTCACTATGCACTGAGTTCAGCCAAAGCTGTTTCTTTCCCCCTGAATGAAGGATAAGATTTCAGTGCACACTTTCTATTTTAAGTGCATTTTGTTTGTTTTTTTCTGCAGGGATTCTGGATTTCTGTAATTCTTACCCAGTTTCTATACTCTAAACAATACACTTCAGGGCCGCTCCATAAACAGAATCAGATCTGAAGGACTGAATTTTGTACTTGCAGATCATGTGAGAAATTCCTGCTCTGGCAGGGGGCTGGACTAGATGATCTTTTGAGGTCCCTTCCAACCCCTGACATTCTCTTATTCTGTGGTAATTGTAGAGGCATCTAATATTTTGCATGTCTAGTCTATGAGTGTCTACAGTGATAGACAAGCCCTCCCAAAGTCTGACAAAGCCACCGAGTACCTCATATGCCAAGACTCAAAGCTTGTAAGGAAAACAGTGTCTTACTAGACCAATGTACATGTCTAGAAAAAGTAACTTCCAAGAATGCAAGCTGGTTTTCAAATTTCAATCACCTTTAACTTTGTAATAACTCAGCATTGACTAGGAACAAATGCTCCAAATTAAGCTTAATAATGTGATTCAGTTACTACAAAAAAAACCAAACAAACAAAAAAACATTTTTCCACATCCTTCAGAAGTGGTTGGTAGAAGGGCTTGTTTTCCCAGAAATATTTTTTCCCCTGCTCTGCTTTAATCACAGATATTGTGTGGTTTAATACACTTTTCTGGATACTAAGGAGTCTGGATTTGGCGACTCATGACCAGACGGGCTGTTTAGTCCAGTCTAAAGACAATATGGAAAAAAATGGGTTTGGGCTATTCAGAGTGGCAGCAAACATTTCAAATTAGAACTCTCAGTAGTGTGCTTCTCCTACCAGCAGCTCTAGCATGAATATCCCCATTGACCACCACATCAAGGAAAACAGACTCCCTTCATGCCACAGATGTCTGATAGGCCATGTCCCAGAAAAATGCAGTAATAAAGGAAACCACAGCTGGTTCAGAGACCTCGCTCTGCGGTCGTTCCTTGACTACAGCATTGCTCTGCATACTCACCTTATCACAAAAATCATGCAGCTGTATCGTGAAGCCCAGTTTCATGCTGCCTTTCACATAGGCAGCCAAGGTACTGAGATGATGCACATTTGGGCAAGCTCAAGACAGGTTTTGACTGCCTAGCACATTGTAAATCTCTCCAGCGTCCAATAACTTTCATAGTGTGGATGGGAAATGGTCTCTAAGCAAGCTAACATGTGTTTCATGTTATGTTACAGTTCTGATAAATTGCTAACAGATAACGGACATGAATAAGACCTAGAGAAAGGAGGTGATAGCAGCTGAATTTAGCTGTGTTCACTTCTGGGGATTGAACTGTCACATTCTGGGATTTAAAAATAAATAAATAAAAAAGAGCCAGCTGAAGGGATTTCAACTGCAAACTTAAGAATGCCCCCAAAAGTTGACTCTTGATATTTTAAAGCAGATTAAATTTACAGCTCTTCATCTTTGACACTGTCTTATTTAAGACAGCCTGACTTGTTCTTCCCTGAAGTTCAATGGAAATATGATCTTTACAGTTCAGACCTTCAAGTCTTGGCAATTTTCAGTGCCTGACACCCAATTTGAGAACTAAAGAAATTTGTTTTGACAGAAAAGCAGCGACATAGCAAATATTCACAGCCACAGTGCACAGCTACCTGTCTGATACATCCCTCCTTTTTGTTACAAACTAGAATATTCCAATCTATGTTCAATGGAAACAGTAAACACACAATGGAAATCATTAGACTGGAAGATTCATGATCCTTTACTGGCTTCTTGCTGCTGATCACCCAGTAAGTCAGTACCTTGTATTATGCCTGATCCTACCTGCAACAGGAGCTGTGGCACACAATATATGGCTGTGCAAAAGTAATGCTCGCTATTGTGTGGATCAGTTAATCTTTTATAAATTAGTGATTCAGCCAATAATTATTGAGCATAGATATAATTCAAGCGGAAGATCACAATTTGCCTGAGTGAAAAACACAGTCAAAAACTGTCTATGTTATGGGCACAAATCCATAGTATCAACACGGCAATGGAAGGAGGAATATGGCAGTTTTTCTCTGTTACATGACTGCCCCAACATCCAGTACCATTAACTTTTGACCCAGCATTTTCCATACTACATATGAGCTTTCAAACACACAATACTCATATCACAAATTATCACATTCAAGAACCTTTTTAATAACTATGCATAATACTTTTTTACAGATGTTTCCATATAAGTCTTTAAAGAAAAGCATGGTGAGATGGCGTGGAAGTTTTACTAAGTGTCTCTGAGAAAGATTTTTACATAGGATAAACCAAATGATGTTATTACTTCTATTAATTAATTTTTTGAAGGAAAATCTCAAGCACTTCGCAAACATTAAGAAAATCTTCATGTCACAGAAGTTCACAGCTAAAAGATACAAAGAGGTTCACCATTTGAATAACAAGTAAAATGCCAGTCAAATTGGCCTTTGCAACATGTGCTGGCATATCTAGAAGCCTTTGGCTTCCAAACAAGACACTTGAGTCCCCACAGCAGCCCTCAGCTTGGAAGGAGTAACCTGTGATTAGGGTCAGAGAAATAAAAATAGGCTGTTAATACAGATACTTAATTCTCCACACCCAAATGAGAACATTCAGGACAGGTTCTCTTTCTGTGTATACACACAGGCATATTTAAGTAGCTCTTTCTTTTTTTACACACATATGCACCTCACATCATGTGCCTTTAATGACTTTCTGAAAAGTACTGACTGGTAGCCAGCCAGTGATCACTAACAGTTTAAAAACAGATGTGCCTAAAAAGGCCTCTATGCTACACATCTGTAGATGAAAGAAACAGCAAACAAGAAAAAAATTAAATCTTGGCTTCCCTGACTGATAACCCTTATTTTCCTGTTTCAGTTTCAAAGTGCAAAAATATTTCTTCTTCTTTCCTTATTGAGCGTCTTTGTCATTCTCTTTTTCTCTGCGTCCTGATGAACAGTGTTATGGAAACACATCATCCTACAGAATGGTGGCATCATCACCAACTTGTTGGACATAAGCTGCCTAGCAAAGCTGTCTGACGGTTTCACCCAGGGATGCATGATCCAGGCAGTGCAAGATGTCCTGAGCGAGCTACGCCTCCTGCAGATGACTAAGAAGCCACTGAGGACTGAAGAGTTCATTACTTTCCTGGCCAGACAGGACCCAGTGTACCAAGAGGAGGAAAAAACGTTTAAGGTGACATTAAGAGCTATGTTAACTGGCTGTCTTTCATCAGCCTCTGCTATGCCCTTGTCCAGGAGTGTTTAATCTAGAGACCTGCTAATTCTGCTGATGAGCTGGCACTTGGCTCTTTGAATGCTGATGTATGGCTCAATGGCACCAAACACCCATCTCCCCCATGTTGGGATGGTTTGGCAGCCCAGGGCTGCTGGGCAGCTGGATGTGCCAGGCAAACAGTCCTTCTGACGAGCAGGAGCTCTCGCATGGGCAACTCGCCCAACGTTCTGCCTTCATCCAGCTCACACTGAACAGAGCGGCCTTCGCGTGCACAGATAAATTATACAGATGCCACTGTCCTTTTTCTCCCAGAGTCAACATGTTCAGTAAGCCCGGGTATATTATTTGGAGAAGGCAAAAACGTGGACCTGTAGAGCGTACCACATAGGGATCAAGTTCTAAGGCTTTATTTTAAATTATTTCAAACAAGAATATTCTTGTAAGAGTTTTCAATTCAAGGTTTAAAAAAATATAAAAATTAGTTTCTGCCTCAAACTCCATCCCTCTCCCCATCCTCAAGGCTACAAAATCCCACAGGAAAAACCTAGCCTATTTGAGGTGCACTGCATGTACCTCAAATATATGTGGATCACCCTGCAAACTACTGCTTTTTCCAGATGTAGCTCAGTAATAATTACTCTTTTTTTCCCCCCTCTAGACTAGGATTATCTTTATGTAGTGGTTAATTCTGCTTCCATTGTGCTGCTTTCGGCTTTCCTATTGATGGCAACAGTTTATCAGGCTTAAGTGCAGGTCTACAACTTATTTATTGCAGTGACTTCAGTGTAGTTTAGAGATAGCTGAACTGGACTTGAACTAGCTAGTTCAGTGCAATTCTACAGCTTAGCAGCACCAACACTCCCAGAAGAGTGGCACAAGGCTGGACTAAGGGACTTCAAGCCTATTAAATATTAAAAAAAAACTTGGCCACAGAACAGGAAAACCCTGCTCTGTACCCCCTCACAAGAGGGGCTCCATATAGGATAGGACTTTAGCACTGAATCCAGTAGACCCCAAAAGAGTTTTCTCAGGCCTCTATTCCTCCCTCCCTGGCCCCAACTTCTACCATATAACTTCTGCTTTTAAACTATGCAGCTCTCCTGGCTGAAGGGTTTCCTTTTCATTCTGTTCCTTGAATCCCTTCTGGTTTCAAATCCCCACAACACCTCACACAATAAACAGGACACAGTTTCTAACAACTTTGTCCAAGTCTTCTTCCACTGATAACCTAACGATAGTGCATATTTCTCCCAGCTCCAGTGAATACTTTCCAGTTTCCATGTAGAGCCATTTGGCTCACTCGACATAGGCAGCATTTGTGATATTTGGCAAATTACTCTTTTTTCCTCATGCTTCCTAGCTAAACCAATATCTTTCCTCAGGGAAAGGCTGATGGTTCAGCATTGCAGCGAAGGAAAAAAAACAAAAAACAACCTTGTCATTCCCCAGTCCAAGTAGCAATCCATTTGTACTCTGAAACATGAGAGCTGGTATTTAGTGTGAGTTTAACTTGAAAATATTATTCCACTTACTATAAATGTGCCTGTTTTGCACAACACAAAGTATGCAGGCTGCACTTAATTTCAAACACAGCTAAAACGATACTGTCCTCAGCATCCCATGGCAATCATTTCCTTGCATTCATTACAGCCCTTAGAGAAGTATTCCCTTTTATGTGTTTCCCTTAAATGTCATAGAACCTTGCCCCAGCACCTGTAATATGTCATAAGGGAAGAGGATTGTCAAAATGGCCTTGTGCACTAAATAACTCCAGTATCTCCATCTCTTCTCACAGAAGCCCCTCTTTCCAAATTTCTTTAGTCACTGCCATCACTGGACCTTTTCTGTTGCTTGGCTTCACCCTTTTTGAAGGGGGGGGCAGCTCAAATGCAGTATTCAAAGTGAAGATTAGCACTGTGATGGATCTTGGATTCCTCTTCACTGGAAACATGAATCTCCCTGTTTGACATTTATATTCTGCCAGTGTTCCAAAATGAATATAAATAATGCAAAATTTGCAATAATGTGATTTCTTCTTTCAATTTACTCAAATTTCTGCCCCCAATTATACATCCACGTTTTTGAAATTATAAATTATTGCACCAGTGATTGATACAAATCCTTACACAGAAATAACAGCAGTCCTAGAGGAGCACAGGGCAGCCCAACTAGCATGCGAGTTCTGCCTGGCAGCGACTGGTGCAAAATTCTTACAGTATGTAAGAAAACCCACACCAAAGACTGTGGACATCATTCCTCCAACAAGCAGACATTTTAACTCCGTTCAGTCACTTACTGTCAGTGACCTACATCCCCAGTTCAGATGCTAATGCCTTAGCGATAAATCTACTTTTGTTTTAACCATGTCAGAGGAGCTGGCCTCGTTAATCCCATGCGACAGTTTTGCTAGCTAAAGAGTCAAAAGCAGCCGTTATCACAAGCCAATTGGCAGGTTAATTTGGGGCCTTGAAATATAGACACAAAGAAATGTGAGGAACACAAGAGAAGACATCA